TGCGTCGGGGTAGGGCAGGCAAGTCCCCGTCGGTGTGGCGCAGAGGGAGGCCGCTCAGCTGCGAGTGCCCCGAAACCTCCGCAGCCCAAGCCGGTGACTACCTGTTGACAGCGCGGAGTTGCGCCACTGCGCTCGCGGTGCCTGCTTTGTGCCGGACCCGGGGCGGGGCGGCCTCTTCTTCTGCCGGCTGCAAGAGCTATTCCCCAGTGTGGGGGAGAATCCCCCCCCCCCCCCCCCCCCCACCCCCGAGCAGCAACGTGCCAGGACTTGGCAAGGCTCAGGCAGTACCGAGTTGACCACCGCACGCAGATCTTTATAGAACGACCGTGACCCGGAGGGCGTTCACTCTACACCTCGTCCCCTCCTGAGACAGGACCCTGGGGCCCAGGAACTGGAGGGGGATTTGCCCATAGTCCCAGGGCGCAGAAGGCAGCGGCTGATCTCACCTCAACCCCCAGCTTAGCGCCCCCTGGCGGGCCGGGGGCTCCGGAGGCTAGTGCGCCCTGACCTGCGAGGCGCAGCTGGGGGCCCTGACCGGCGAGGCGCAGCTGGGGGTGACCCAGTGGCCCGCCGGCTGTCGCGAACGCTCTGACTCCGGAAAGGGGTAATCCGTCAGGACCCGGAGACCTAGGGCAGGCACCACCTCTCCAATGACGATCTAGGGTGGCAAAAGCGCAGTCTGGGACCGCGGGGCCGCTCAGGAAGAGTCGAGAGCCACGGGAGGCCTGGGTTCGCGTGACATCGGAGAGGGCTGGACAGGGATCGCCACTGTGAGTCCGCGCGCCTCCCTCCGCCTGCGGTCTCTGCCCCTCTGGGTCCAGGAATGCTGCGCACAGTGGGGGAAGCCCGGATTTTGGGGAGGGGGCGAAGAGGCAGTAACGGGCGTTTGGACCCCCACCCCACCCCCACCCAGCGTTTATTTTTCTCGTTTTGGGAGTGCGGCAAAGTTCCAGGAATAGTAAGACAAAAGGTCTGGCTGCAGGCTGGTGAGCGGAGGGGCTAGGTTACACCGGAACCCGCCGAGAACCCAGCCTCCACTTGCCTCTGTGCTTAAGGCGCCCAGCCTGGGGACTCTAAGGAGGAGGAAGGAATATAATTCAAAGTTTTTCCTTGCCTTCCTTTGGGTTATGCCAGAAGCCCCCCGAAAACAGTCCCCAGTCTCTGTGTGTGCTTACGGCACGGCGCACCCGCGGAACGACACAGGTACAAGTGATGTGGCGACCCGGGTGCAGGGGCTCAGAGCCCCGCAGACCACTGTGAGGCTGGGAAGAGCTCGGGACACGCGTGGTGAAGTCAGGGCTTTATTTTCATAGAAGGGTAAACTAAGTCTGGGGGGAGGTAGAGGGCCGGCCCCAGCTCGCGGGGTCGGGTGAGAACGTCCTCTTCCCGTCCTGCACCTCCTCTAACGCGAGCGCCTCCTTCACCAACTCCCCCAACCCTTTAGAAAGGAATCCCTTTGTCTCTGTTGCTCTCGAAGGGAGAGCGGAGGGACTGTGAATGACTCCAGGCGAACGCCAGGTGTTGGTAAATTTGGGAGAAGCTGGGAAGGGAGTTAATGAGGTGAGAAAGAAAAGGGGGGAAAATGGAGAAAACCCATTCCGCTGCGGCGGGTGGGGTGGCCGCTCCTGCACGGCGCCTCTGTGCTAGGCGCTGAGCCTGGGGACATTAAGGAGGAGGAAGGAATATAATTCAAAGTTTTTCCTTGCCTTCCTTTGGGTTATGCCAGAAGCCCCCCGAAAACAGTCCCCAGTCTCTGTGTGTGCTTACGGCACGGCGCACCCGCGGAACGACACAGGTACAAGTGATGTGGCGACCCGGGTGCAGGGGCTCAGAGCCCCGCAGACCACTGTGAGGCTGGGAAGAGCTCGGGACACGCGTGGTGAAGTCAGGGCTTTATTTTCATAGAAGGGTAAACTAAGTCTGGGGGAAGGTAGAGGGCCAGCCCCAGCTCGCGGGGTCGGGTGAGAACGTCCTCTTCCCGTCCTGCACCTCCTCTAACGCGAGCGCCTCCTTCACCAACTCCCCAAACCCTTTAGAAAGGAATCCCTTTGTCTCTGTTGCTCTCGAAGGGAGAGCGGAGGGACTGTGAATGACTCCAGGCGAACGCCAGGTGTTGGTAAATTTGGGAGAAGCTGGGAAGGGAGTTAATGAGGTGAGAAAGAAAAGGGGGGAAAATGGAGAAAACCCATTCCGCTGCGGCGGGTGGGGTGGCCGCTCCTGCACGGCCCGAGGGCGCCGCCTGGCGGCCCGAAGCAGCATCGTGCGGGTCCCGCGATCTTTCTGCGCGGTCAAGGCCTGGCTCAGCGCTGGTCAGGCCACCCGACCCTCCAAAGTGTCATGCCTCACGGTATGAAGAGCCTCGCCATCTCGTTTCTCACGGTCTCTCCCTTCCCGGACTGACAGTTCCCTTCTTCTCACGGTCCCTGGTCTCACCCGACACCACCGGGTAGAAGTGAGCATGGAGCGCGGAGCTCTGCCTTGCCTCTGGCCCCCTGAACCACCTCACTTCACATCTCTGCGCCTGTTTCCGCGTCTGCGAGATGGGACAGCAACGCTGTCGCGCCGTTGCTGGGAGGAGCAAACGCGATCGTGATGGGCGAATGCTCTTTATAAACGGAACATCGTGCAGGGTCGTCCCAGTTTGCAGAGGCGGCAAATCGAGGCCCAGAGGGGAAGGAGACTGCCAAGGCCATTATAACTAATAAGCAGTACTGGGGGGAGAGAGCCCAGTCCTCGGGCCGACTCTGCGGCCTCCGCCGGTCTCCTTCCCTGTCCCTCTCTCTTCCGCCCCCGGTCCGTGTCAGTCCCGGCTTTTCTCTCTGCCTCGGTGGCTTCCAGCCTCGCTGTCTGCACCCGGGCTCTCTCTCCGGGCGTCTCTGATCCTCTCGCCTTCCTCTGGCTGCCCAGGTCCCAGCCCTAGTGGCGCAGAGGGGCAGCCGGGCGGGGACCGCGCTGATGGACACGCCCTGGGCCACACCTAAATCCGGCGGTGTCCAGGCCATGCGGGGCGCGCAGAGGTGGGGGGGGGCGACGCCCGCGGCGCGCTCGGCCTGGGCCCCGACCCCTCCTCTGTAATTTGAATCGAACACCTCCCCAGCTCGCGCGCCGCCTTAACCCGCCGCCCCGCTCTCCCCGCTGCAGGCGGCGTGCGCAGGACGGCGACGGTGCGGGCGGCTGGACTCCACCGGCGCTCCCGGGGGGGCGCGGGCGGGCGAGGGTCCGGGCGCCTGGACTCCACCGGCGCTCCCGGAGCCACCCGCGCCCGCAGCGCGACCATGAGGGCGCGGCCGCAGGTCTGCGCGGCGCTGCTCTTCGCCCTGGTGCTGCAGACTGGCGTGTGCTATGGCATCAAATGGCTGTAAGTAGCACCCCGGGTCCGCGGGGTCCGCGCCGGGGTCCGAGCCGAGGGCCGGGCCGGTAGTTCGGGGGCGGCGGTTCGGCACCTGGCCCTAGGTTGGAGACTCAGGAGCCCATGTCGGCCCCGGAGGCGTGGGAGAATCACCGTCCTCAGACTCTGCTCCTCTCTGAAACGCCCTGTCCCAGCACCTTGCGGAGAGGCAGCGGGACCGTGCATGGAGGGCAGTGGAAGGCGATGGAGTTGTCGGTCCTGTGCGGCCGAAGCTGCCCAAGGGCCCCCAAGTGGCCAGCGACCTCCGCTGGGCGCGGCACGGCAAAGACGTCCTCGTCCAGGGGAGAAAGCTAGAGGGTCTATGTGCGCCCCGCACACTGGGGCCAGCCCAGCCTGGCCCGGCAGTCTCCTGACCTTAGCTGGAGGTCCGGGGAACACAGTCCTGAGCCCTCCACCTGGTGACCTTGGGGAAGTGTCACTCCACCATCTCCATGGTCAGTGTCCTCCTCCTCGAAGGAGGGTAAGTCTCCACTGCACTCAGATCAGACCAGAGGCTCCTAGGGGAACCTCTCAGCTCTGGGGGGGGGGGCCCATGTGCGGCGGCATCCTTCAGCTAT